GTGTGGGGGGGGGGTTGAGTTACTGAGTGGCTGCTTGTTTTGGGGTCAGCATCTGTGTGTATTTTTCTGGGGGTTAGGGAGGGTTTTTTCTTCTTTTGAATGTTAACGAGGGGCTGCTGGGGGTGATTAGCAAGTTCATTGTGTGAACTGTTCACATGTCCTGGTGGTTGAGCTGAGCACACCCCGGGGACAGAGAGAACTGCTCCTGCCTGTGCTCCTGCACTCTGAAGATGCCGGTCACAGGTGCTGGCGAAACGTTAGGAAACAAAACTTCCAGAACACGTCACACAGCCCGGAAGACCCACACCAGCCATCAAACTCAAAACGTTTGAGTGGTTTTTATCAGTCAGTGTGGCTCTAGTCCACACCTCCAAACTCATTTTCTTAACAAGACTCCAGGCAGGTATGCTAACACCTGACTCGAGTTAGCTTTTCTGAGGCCAACTCAAGGGTGCCCGGAAGCCCCACCCCAGCCATCAAACTCAAAACGTTTGAGTGGTTTTTATCAGTCAGTGTGGCTCTAGTCCACACCTCCAAACTCATTTTCTTAACAAGACTCCAGGCAGGTATGCTAACACCTGACTCGAGTTAGCTTTTCTGAGGCCAACTCAAGGGTTCACATACTTTTTCCACTAGTACTATGAGGTTTTTATGGTTGTTCTCAATAAAGACATGAAGGATCAGAATTGTTTTTGTGTTATTATTTTAGGCACATTATATTTGTCAATACTCTTGACTTAGATGATGGTCAGATCATCTGCAGAACACCAGGAAATTCCAAAAGGTTCACATACTTTTTCTTGCAACTGTATGTATGTATGGCGTGATATGGTTCATGGGGTCATGAAGAGTCGGACATGACTTAACGACTGAACAACAACATGTATGTATTTATATGTGTATTTACTGTTTTTCTGTATTGCCGCTCCTCCAAGGGAGTCATGCATGACAGCTTATGACTAACAACAAACCCTGCCTGGAATGAAATTGCATTATTGAATGGTTAAACTTGTCACTAAAATCCTTAAGCTCATTAGCTCAATGTTGCAAATGTCAGTGATTTTAACCTTGAAGGGTCCTTTTGAACAGCCAAGTGTGGTTTCCTACAAAAGGATTAAGGGATTAAGGTGCTGTCTGGGTCCCTGGGGAGGCCCCGGTTTCAGTCTCTTCCTGAATCTTCTGCATGTCTACCCAGGACGGTGCGGTGGAGGGTCAGTGCTGTTCAGCAGGTGGGCCTGCAGGTGCCCCCTAAGCTGTGTGTGTCATGCAGCCCAGAGGCTGTGGGGCTGCTTCATGCTCGTTTGCCCTATTCATCCATGCGGATGACCCACTCCCTGACTGCGGTACAGAAACGAATGGACTAAGGGGGCCCCCGAGCAGCCTCTTCTAACCTGCTTGCTCCTTTCTCCCTGCATTAGCGGGTCCTGACTGCGGATTTCTACGAAGCCTGCAAAATCAACGACCTGGAGGGGCTCCTCAGGCAGGGCTTAAGCCCCAAGGATGTGAGTGTCTGCGGGGATCTGGGGGGGAGGGGCAGGGGATGCCGGAGGCCCCTTCTGCCGCCCTCTCCGCTCGGAGGGGTCCCGCGGGGCCGTGCAGCTTCCATCCTTTCTGTTCCATCCAGAGGCGTTCATGGTCGCTCACCTTCCAGGCAGGGAGTGCAGCAGCACGAGCAGAAATCGGGCTGCCGAAAACCGTCCAGGCAGTTACTGCAGGATTCTGGGCTGTGGCTGGCCGAAGCGGCTCTGTCGCTCCTGGGCCCGACGGGTTTTGTTTTGCCATCCCTGCAGCCTTCCGCATCTGGGGCGGGTGCGCTTGCTCCAAGCACCGGCTCTTCCCTGGGTTTTCCTCCAGCTGACAGCAAGTGGTGGGAGAAGCTGCTGAGCGTGACCACGGCGGCTTCTCCCCTGAGTGGCGACCCTGGCTCTCCCTAGTTTCCTGCGGTGACGTCGGGCCCTTCCGCAGGCTACCCCGGGGCTCCCCTCCTGCGCCACGGTCTTTTCCTGCCCCCTCCAAGATAACTCCTGCTCCTCTAAGGCTTCTCCAGCCACAGCCTGTCCTTTTGCCCTGTTCAGAGACCCGCTTTCTCTTTCCCTCCAGGCAGCAGAGAAGCTAATCCAGACGTTTGCCGAGCAGATCTTCCTCACCGGATTCATCCATGCAGACCCTCACCCAGGGAACGGTAGGAGACGCAGCCCAGAACCACAAAGGGGCAGGAGGAGGGGAAGCACCAAAGCCTCATCGGGAGGCCCCGCGTGTGCGGTCGTGGCTGGTCCAGGGGGAGCAGGCTCAGCCAACAAGGAGTCAATGGGTTTGGTGGGTGAACCCGGGGACTGCCTTGTTGATCTGTTTGTGTGAACTGGCCCAGCTCGCTGCTCAGGCAGGCTCTGAGATTCCTGGGTGGTCACTCTGGGGGAGCAAAGGGGGTGTGTGGAAAGAGAAAGGGAACGGACGGTTGTGGGCAGAGCAGCAGAAAGGGGAGCGGTGAAGGAGCAGCCGGCTGCAGCGGCTTCTGTGCAAGACCCTGCGCAGACGCGGCTTGCTCTGCTTTTCACGGAGCCAGACCCACGAGCCACGCTGGATGGGGAGCCAGGCCCAAAGGAGGGCAGGTTTTAAGGGGCGCTTCCTGGAGGTGGGGGAGGCTCTTCATACCCAGGCAGGACTCCAGTGTGCCTCCTCCCACACTCATTCCCCTTTCCTGCCTTTCAGTGTTGGTGCAGAAGGGTCCAGATGGCAAAGCTCAGCTGATTCTCCTGGATCACGGCCTGTATGAGATCCTTCATGAGAAGTAAGGACAGGGTGGTGGGAAGTGGGAGCGTCCCTTTCGGAGTACAGGCAGTCCTCAATTAACAACCACTTGTTCAGCAACCATTCGAAGTTACAACGGTGCTTAACGAGTGGTGGTTACAACCAGTCCTCATGGGCCACCTGCACATCCTCACGCACCCTTCCCGGAGCCCCGCTGTGCTCGCACCGCATCTCCCCCGCCACTTGAGCACCCTCATACACTGTCCCTCACCCTCCCTCCCTGGCAGCAGCCACCCTAAGCCCCGCTGCACTTGCGCTGCGTCTCCCCAGCCACTAGCACACCTGTGTGCAGCTTCCGAGCCTCACGCTTGTGCCATGCTTCCCCTGCCACCCATGCAGGAGTGCTTGCTTGATGACCCATGATTCTCACTTAACAATGGCAATGGGGACTGTAGGGATTGCCATTGCTAAGCGATACAGTCATGTCACATCACACTTTACAACTGCATCACTTAATGGCAGAAATTCTGGTCCCAATTGCCGTCGTAACTCGAGGATTACCTGTAGCTGCCTTCTGGACCCGCGAGGGTCTGCAGCTGCATCCTCTCCCTCCCTCCCTCCCCCCCTGCTGATGACTCTTGCGCTCTCCAGGGAACGAGAAGCTTTGTGTAAGCTCTGGCGTGCCATCATCCTGCGTGACGACACCTCCATGCAGCTGTACTCCAACCAGCTGGGCGTGAAAGGTGAGGAGGGTGTGGCAGATCTCAAGCTGGGACTTGCTGTGGTTTATTAACTGCAGTTGGCTGGATCCACACAGCACACTCCAGAAGGGAAGCCACGTTACAGCTAAGATCAGCCTGCGTTTCCTGGTTATGCCTCCTCAAAGAGGTCCAGCCTCTTCCCTGCCCTCCACAGAAATCTCATTCCCAAGGGGGAGGCGCTCTTTCCCAGGATGCCTCCTGCAGATGGCAGGCGCAACCGAAGGGAACGGACACAAAGGTCTGCACTTCTCAATTTGCTGTTCTGCTTGTGGCCAATTTTCGACTGCCCTTCAGCCCGTTTTTGGGCTGGTGCACGGGTCCCTCCGCCTGAGTGCCGCTTTCCTCCCCAGACCAGGACTACTTCCTGTTCTGCGAGATCCTGCTGCAACGGCCCATCAACATGGCCCAGCTGGCCCTGGCCAACGTGCTGACCCAGGAGGAGACCGCCTACATGCGAGACATGGCCAAGAACCGCTTTGACCACATCATGCAAGTGCTCAGGGACATGCCCCGGTCCATGCTGCTCGTCTTCCGGAACATCAACACCGTGCGGGGCATCAATGTGGCACTGGGGGCCCCTGTGGACCGCTACTACATCATGGCCAAGAGGTGTGAGCCAGAAGCGCCTGGACAGAGGGCGGGGGGTGCCGTGGCTTCCCGCGCTGTAGCCAGCGAGCCACTCATACTCTGCATTGCTCTGCAGACTGGAGAGGTCTGGGGGTGCAAGTCCTGCTTCAGGAAAACAAGAAGTCGCCCGCTCCCTGCTTCCTTCTAAAGCAGGGTTTCTCAACTTTAAGATGTGTGGACTTCAACAACCACCATTCCCCCACCCCCCGGGGGGGTGTGGGGGTGATAGGCACACATCACTAAAAA